AGCATAAATGCATTATAAAAGGCAGAGGAGCAAACACGACCGACATCCAATGTGTGTGAGTGTGTGTGTCTGTGTGTGTGTGACAGTATTAAAAGGCAACGGATTCTGGATTCTGGATACTCGAATACTCCGCATAGAAAACGCATATGATAAATTACACAAAAAGCTAGTTTCAAGCACACGGCTGCTGTAAATGTGGGCTGAGTGCACAGTGGTTGAAAAACAATGAAAAGTTATAAATAAATTAATTTAAATGAATACAAATTTGAGATAATAGATCAAAAGATTTCAGTCAAAGAAGATTTTTGAATGAAAGCTGAGATATCGTAATCTGCTAGTCGAAAGATTATTAGAGAGCTCTCTTAACATTTATACAAGTCAAATATCAGATATCAGTAATCAGTTGCTGTAAATTCTTTTATAACGACAGACTACGAACTTATCTTAAGTATCTTTAATTCATGATCTATTTACTGCTTCAAGAAATACTCAAGTTGTTAGGGTATTCTCAAATTCTTTTGGGCTCAATCAAGAGAAAAACTCTTTAATAAACAAACGAATATTTGAAACTTGAAACGAATTCAAAACCAGTTTCAGACAATTCGCTTACATCAGTTTCAAATCATTTAATGTTACGCTTTAATTCACATTCCGAGTACATTTGCCGCTCCATTTCGTGGAAGCCCAAATAGAATCTTTTTTATTTCACATTAATGATGATGAGCACCCACTGTGCAGCGTGCATCGGGCAGCAGCTAGAGTAAGCAGCAAGTGCTTTGTTGTTGTTGTTGTTGTTGTTGTTGGTGCAGCTAATTTGATTAATGATAAGCCGAGCTTAACTGACGACGATTGTGATTCATTATGTGCGCACATCCAGCACACTTAGCGCAAAAGATATAGATTCAGCCATAGCTCCAGTAACCAAGATGCAGATGCAGTTGACGTTGCAGTTGCAGATGCAGATGCAGTAGCTGCTGCGAATTGCATTTAATAGATTGTTGGCATAGAATGAGGAGAGACAGAGCATTATTTTATTAGCTTGACAACATGTGTCCGTTGTTAGGCAATTGCCATATAGACTAGATCTCTCCCTCATCCCCCTCTACCCCTCTCACTCCATCGCTTACACTTGCCTATTGAATTGAATCACCATCAAATGCGAAATATGCTTTCGCTATCTATGAAATACAATTTAGTTGGCTGATTACATGCAATGAGCCATTTCCTTTGTTGTGTCGACTCGCACGCTAATACCATAGTAGAATCCGTTGTTGCCAGTATCTATACAAATATCTAGCTATGTGTATATATCCATGTATATCTATGCTTCGTCGCAGCTGTTGGCCACTTGCATCGCCCCATTTGGGTCAGAACAGAGCGGGCTATTCAACATAGTGAAAGAAAGGCGGTCAGAGCGCATTTCAATTTGATTTGCCTGAAGTCATCGACTCAAAAAAGAGGAATTCGTATAAGTATGAGCATACAGTGTACAGAATAAGTATAGGTATCTTTACGGCTAAACATAGATACATTGATAGTTACAGATACAGATACAGATACAGATACAAATACAGATACAGATACAGATACAGATACAGATACAGATACAGATACAGATACAGATACAGATACAAATACAGATACAGATACAGATACAGATACAGATACAGATACAGATACAGATACAGATACAGATACAGATACAGATACAGATACAGATACAGATACAGATACAGATACAGATACAGATACAGATACAGATACCGATACAGATACAGATACAGATACAGATACAGATACAGATACAGATACAGATACAGATACAGATACAGATAGAGATACAGATACAGATACAGATACAGATGCAGATGCAGATGCAGATGCAGATGCAGATACAGATACAGATACAGATACAGATACAGATACAGATACAGATACAGATACCGATACAGATACAGATACAGATACAGATACAGATACAGATACAGATATAGATACAGATACAGATACAGATACAGATACAGATACAGGTACAGATACAGATACAGATACAGATACAGATACAGATACAGATACAGATACAGATACAAATACAGATACAGATACAGATACAGATACAGATACAGATACGGATACAGATACAGATACAGATACAGATACAGATACAGATACAGATACAGATACAGATACAGATACAGATACAGATACAGATACAGATACAGATACAGACACAGATACAGATACAGATACAGATACAGATACAGATACAGATACAGATACAGATACAGATACAGATACAGATACAGATACAGATGCAGATGCAGATGCAGATGCAGATGCAGATGCAGATACAGATACAGATACAGATTCAGATTCAGATACAGATACAGATACAGATACAGATACAGATACATATACAGATATATTCCTCAACAGAACAACTAACCCCACTCTCTATAGGACACTTTAGAAGACAAAACCCGATCATAACTATCATAATAATAATTACAATATTTATTTTTGACCATTTCCCGATGCTCGTAAACCTGTCGAATCAATCTAAATAATATATTATTAATTTTGCTTTCTACGTTGCTGTCATAGGATTACTTTGTTCTGTTCTCTGTGTTCTTAGTGATCTTAGCTGCTGTTGTTGGTGATCATGCTGGAGCAAGTGGACATTAATAATACAAAATGTGTTAACATATAATGGATAACATTGTTGTTAGTGTCGTTTGATGATGTTCTTGTTGTTCTTGTTGTTTCGTCTATCCACTGGCTTTCTCGCGCTCCTTGCGTTCCTTTTCGCGCTGCTTTTGTTGCTCTTGCCTGGCCTTCTCCTTTTCCTTTTTGATCTTTTCGCGCTCCTTCTCCTGCTCGGCGAGCCGTTTCATTTCCTCCCTTTCATAGGCTTCGAACTCCTCGCGATCCTGCGTCAGCTGAATGAGCTCGGCCATCTCACTTTCATCCAAATCGCCCTCATCGAGATCTTTCTGCATCAGCTCCACCTCACGGCTCATGGCCTCCTTGGCCTTGCGGCGTCGCACTTTCAGCTCCTTGGCATCCAGTCGATCTTGACGGCGCTGTTCACGCTCCTCCTTCTCCTGCTCTCGGCGCTCCTCCTCCCTGGCGAACTCCTCCATCTCGTCCTCAGTATACGGATAGTCCGGAATATCGTAATATAACCGAAAATCCTCCGATGAGATGCAAAGAAAGAGGGTGCCAACGAACGCTGCAATGCCGCTCAATAATGCCATATTGTATCTAGAGTTCTTGGCCTTCCATTCCTTCATGAAATCGCCCTGTGGCTTGGGCAAATCATCGAAGATGGCATGAGTGCCGCCGCTCGGAAAGTAGCCCGGCTTCGGTGGAGGCTTCTTCTCCTGTGCACCTTTGCAAGTCGATTTGGCAGCGAATTGCCGGTTAAAGATCACGAATTTGTTGAATCGAGTATAGCGCACTGAATATTCAGTTCCAATTAATATATATAGAAGCAAAGCACTTTCCGAATTATATCTGAGGTCTACTTACACTCACGCGACAGCCGCGATGGAGCGGCCATCAGAAGTCTGGACATATTTACCGTTCGTCCCTTCGTCGTACTCTGATAGCAAATGCGGATTTGTTTATTTGATGTGTGACTGGAAAAAGTATAATTGCCCACACTGACAATAACTTTCTCAAAAGCTGCTACGTTTTCGTTTTATTTTGTTTTGTTTTATTTTGCCTTTTGCTTTACTTTTCTTTCTGTTCTTTAAAAGCTAAAGCTAAAGCAAAAATGTCAACGGCAGCAGCAAAAAGTGCAATTGATATGAATTCTTTGAGTTCCGTCAAACTGTTATAAATGCTACGGGAATTCGCTTTCTTTTATTGAAATTTCGCTTAATGCTATGATTTTTATATTACTACACGATATGGATTTTTGTGAATTTAATTTGTTTCCTTACTCGATAAGCATTTGAATTAAAACGAAAAGACGATTTAGCTTTGATTCAATATATATATATATTTTTTTTTTTTCAATTCCAGAAGGCTTGTATTTGATAGTGGACTATTTTTATATATTTTATTTATTTGGAATACAAAATGAAATAAAATCAATTTTCAATGTTATAAGTGCGCCTTAAAAGATCTTGTGTAATTTTCTTTTCGGAGTCCAAATCCCATAAATCACACTGCAAACAAAGCAAATTAGTTGTAAACTCTGTATGTTTTTGTGGAGCAGCACATTTGGTTAGTAAGTCAGAGTGGGGCAGTGTCCATTTGCTGCGATAACAAAGAAACATAACTGCTCGACAAAATGGGTAGTGAGAACGGTCGCGAGATACAGAGACAAAGCTTATCTGTTGCAGAGATACCTGAAGTGCTGAAGAGCTGTAGAGACGATGGAACCAGACAGCCAGCCGAGACCCAAAGCTCGACCAGCAGCGCATTAGCATGTTAGAGAGCATCAGAAAAAGATTTCATGGAAATTTATGATGCCCCAAAAGAACAGAATCTACAAAGGTGTCACGTGCGTGCGCTGCCAGCCCCCACAACACTAGAGCACTACCACTAGAAAAGTTGTCAAAAATTTTGTATAGTTGACGATGTGGAAAGATGGGACAAAAGTAGTTCGTCGCTCGCTGGTAGTTTAAACAGATAAAGAAGCTAAAGAGAAGCTAATCACGTCAGTTGCACGCCCCAAACGAGACTGCGAGAATGCGGTCAACAAACTTGTTTCCCGTTGCACTCTGAGCGGAGGGTGTGGGCGTGGGTGTTCACTATTTATACTCATTCACGCAAGTGAGCTAAGTATATTGGTTTTGTGCAATGTCCGTATGTCTTGCTATACGGGTTGCTATATATACCCAATAATAATAATATGTCAAGATTTTCCCGATATGAATGAGTATTCTGCAGTCGGTGACGCTCGACTGCAAAGTTTTGACTGTGGGTAGGTAGGAAAAGAACTTGATCGCAATATGCAATGCTGAAATATGTCGCTTTTTAATGTCAAGATCTACAAAATATATATAAATACACATACATATAAGTATCTAGTGTTATGTGAAACGGTTTTTCTTCAATTGTGCTTTCTTTGATTTCGGTTTGATTTTCTGCATGTTCGCTCGTCTCTTTCGGGTGCAGAAACAGATGTAGGAACAGAGTGCAAATAAGGCATAGAGCATGGCAGCTACATAGCAACGTAACGCCAGAGTCCCATTTAGGTGATCGCACTCGGTGCGAAATTGCTGCAGACTCTTATAGGTCTCCTTCAGCGGCAGCGTTTGAATCATAGACACGGAGTTGAGCGAATAGGACATGCCCATCAGCAGCAACTGAATTGTGCCCCAGATGCTTATGAAGAGGCAGAAGAGGGAGCATTTCTTACCGCAAAACATTCCAAGTGTTTCCCAATCCTCAAAATCTACCAAATCTGTATAATTTTCTATATGTATAGTTGATAGATCGTGTGACGGCTAAAGCAAAACCACATCATCGCCCTCTCTCTCTCTCTCTCTCTATATATATATATA